GATAAACGGACCCCCCAAAAAAGGTTGGAGAGTCAGGGATGAATGCACAGTGAACCCCCAGAAAGGTCTGCTTTGAATAGACAGAGCAGTGAGCTCTGGACAGCAGCCTCCACATAGCAAGAGATTGGGACGAGCGACCATGGCCACCAGGGAAGGGCGACAGCCAGGCTTGGAAGACCCTGGGCAGGAGAGGCGGAAGCCAGCGCTCAGTGATAAGGGCTCGATTGTTTTGTTCCTTCGTGATGTGCCCTCATATCCACCCCTTCCCAAGTGACAGCCATTCAGGAGACGGTATTCCTCAATTGCGTTTTAGCTGAGTTCCTGCATTTGCCAACCAAGAAAGTGATCTACTGTATAAATCCTCGGTTTGAATTGGAGCCAGCTATAAAATTAAATTTAAAAAAGGCATTTTACATGGCTTATTTACAATTATACTTCTTCAAGAAGTGATTGTTATATATTTATGCCTATCTCCCCGGAATCCCACCCCTACCACCCATGATCCCCACCCAAAGCAGGTAATTTTTTTTTTTTTTTTTTTTTTTAAAAAGTGAAACCAAAGAGAACACCAGAGATGTAGAAGAACGGTGTGTGCAGTTTCCTCTGCTCTTCCTGAAACGCAGCCGCCCTGTGCCGGGCCTGCCTCTGCTCCCGAGGTGGTTCGTGGGGACAGGCTCCGTGGCAGGCCCATGGCAGATCACGACTCACCACGGCCTCAGGAGATCGTGGTGGAGACAGGATGCCGGGCAGGAGACAGGGAGGAGAGCGGCAGGACAGATGTCCGTCTTGTGAAAACAGAAAGCCAGTGCTGATGGAGGAAGTCCCTGCTTCCTCCCTCCCCAGGGGCACTGCAGTGAAGGCGTTTTGTGCGTGTGCTCAGCCAGTTCTCCGCGACCTGCCATCCTCTGCTGGCCGCAGACTGCTCTCCTGGTGGCGGTGGGTCAGGCAAAGGTCTCGCTCACGTGCTCTCAGTACTCGCTCACCTGAGCCAGCTCGGGTGTCAGGTTGACAGTTATGTTTTTATACAAGGCGTCGTACGTGACGTTTGCGAAGTAGTTCAGGTTGTTGAGGCCATCCAGCCCTTGCCGTTCTTTTGACTTCCTCAGCAGAGCGTACCTATGTAGGCAGAAGACGGGGCGGCTCTAGGCGAGGGTCCAGACCTCTGCACACCTTGCTGTCGGGACAGAGGCCTCAGGGAGGACACGGCCAAGGCAAGCACTTCTGCAGGGGGATGCCTGCACTCCAGCTGACTGGTGCAGTGGTTAGAGGCCTCCTCAGCACATCAGGGCCTCTGTGACTACATCACCTCATTGAAGGCTCCCCTATGCTCCCCCACCCCCTCCCAGCAAACGAGGAAACCAAGCCCATGGCCTGTATTCAGTGCCTTTCTGCTCAGGAACACTGACTTGCTCAGGGTCACAGAGATGGGAAGTAGGAGGTAAGACATTAAAGAGATCAATGGGGCCAGCAGGTGGCGTAGTGGTTAAGGCACTAGACTCCCACAGGGCTGACAACAGTTTGAGTCCCAGGACTACAGGCCTGAAACTCACGCCGGGGTCGTGTGCATGAGTGCCAAGTCCCTGGAGGAAAGAGGAGACTGCAATGTGGCCATCCCCCTAGAGGGTGATTTCTTGTTACCTCTCTCTCTGTCTGTCTCTGGTAAACACACACGCCCCCCCCCCCCCAAAAAAGAGGGAGATATCAATGATGGGGCCAGCAGGTGGCGTGGTGCTTTTGGCACTGGGCTTTCACATACTGACCACGGTTCAAGCCTTGAATCCGAAGGCTTGCTTTTTCACTTTCCCTCTCCCTCCGTCTCTCTCTGGTTGAGCACATGTGCCCTACATAAAAAAAGTAAATAACTAAAATTAAAATAAAAGGGGAACCAGCAGTTAGCGTAATGGCTATGTCGCTGGACTCCCACGTAGTCGACCATGGTTCGCGTCCCGGACCCGGTGGCTTAAAATTCATGCCGGGCGCGTGTGTCTGCGTGCCCAAGATCCCGAGAGGAGACTGGAGGGGACCATCCCCCATGGGGGGTGATTTCTCGCTTTCTGTCTCTATGTCTCTGTCTGTCTGGCAAGCGCACGCGCCCTATAGCGAAAATCTCTCCGAAAAAAAAAAATTAAAATAAAAGATTCTTTTTTTCTTTTGAGAGGTTTTTGCTATAGGGCATGTGTGCTCACCAGAAAGACAGAGAGAGACAGAAAGGGAGACGTCACCCCCCCCAGGGGGGGGTGGTCACGCTGCAATCCCTTCTCCATTCTCCTCTCAGGATCTTGGGCATGCACACACATGTGCCCAGCGTGAGTCCACGTCAGTGGGTCCGGGACTCAAACCACAGTCGACTACATGGGAGTCCAGCAACATAGCCATTATGCCAACTGCTGGTCCCAAAATATTCTTTAAAGAAAAAAAAAAAAAGATTGCTGAGAAGCTCATGGTCTGTATTCTGCGCCTTTCTATTTTCATGCAAACAGAGCTGAAGCAATTAGAACTGGTCATCTAGACAACAGTTCTCCCAATTCACAAGACAACAACCAAAAATAGTCACCCGTGAACAAGCAGAGACATCCTGCTGTCCACACGCCCCTGGGGGTCCAGTCTGGGTTTATTTATTGAAAGAAAAGCGTTTGGTAAAACAGCTACTGTGACCACACAGACGGACACTTGGCGTGCTCACTCAGACCTGGCGCTGCAGGTGGAGCGCCGCCCTGCTGTTTGATCAGTGCAACCTCCACTGCCTGAGCGGGTTTCTAACTCCCAAAAGGCTGCAGGGAACGCAGCAGTAAGAAGGGGATCCCTTGTGGAACGGCACCAGTGCTTTGCACCCAGTGACTGCTTCTGGGTTCAACCGGAGAGTATACAGCCACCGCCTAGTGGCTGCCAGGACAGGAGCTCGAGGTGGGGTGGGGATGAGACTAGGGCTGAGGCAAGCTCGAAGACACCTGGAAATGCAAAGTGAAAGGTACATATGTAAGAGGAGTAAACCGCACCCACCTTCCAAGGAACTGGACTTCTCCTCGATGGTGATGGGGAATGGACTTGTACTTTCCGGTGTCACCTTCGGGCCGGCTCACAGAGTAACCTGCGTTCTGCACCCTGCCCAAGACCAAGAGAATGGATTTTCAGATCCAGTGGTCACATCCCAGAGCTTACCAAAGCTTAAAGACACGTTACCAGCAGAAGCTTTCTCACTCACTTCCATTTAACTGACTTCGTGGGTCACTTTTTCGTAACTATGTTAAGACTCAATTTTTTTTAAAGGTTTTTGCCTTTAGGGCATGTGAGCTCTGCTGGAGAGATACAGAGACAGACAGTAAGAGAGATAGTGAGAAATCACCCCCCGGGGAGGATGGTCACACCACAATCCCCTTCTCTCCTTTCTCCTCCTGGAATTTTGGGAACGCATGCACAGGCTCCCCAGCCTGAGTGTCAGGCCGCCAGGTCTAAAACTCAATTTTACCTCGGAGAGCTTTTAGCTGAGTTCTCCAAACCTCGGCGGCAGACACTCACAGCCCTCTAAGTGTTGGCAGCTAATGAGCCACTCTTGTATAGACCCCTGCAGCTCGGTTCCCCCAGGCCAGGTGGATGTTCACCAGAAGCCAGCTGCACATGACCTAACGTGAATGCCAGCTGCACTTGTTACTGCAATTTGCTATTTAATTATATCACACACATATTCAGAGTTCGTTCCATATAAATTAAGTCTTTTACTTTAAAAAGACTTGATAGAGGTTATCCGATTTAAAGAAAAAAATAAAATCTGGTAAAGGAGTTGGCTTTGGATGAGACAACTATAAAAGATGGAAGGTGGGGCCAGCAGGTGGCGTGGAGGTGCAGGTGGCTGGATCCTAAATGGCTGACTGTGCAGTTCGAGTCCTAGACCCGAAGGCTTAAAGACTGCACAGGGCATGTGTGCATGATTGCCCAAAATCCCAACAGGAAAATGGGGGAGAAGGGACTGCAAGGTGGCCACCCCCAGACCCCCATCCCCAACGAGTACACACACCCTAATAATGAAAATGGAGGGGAAAAAAGAAAAATGATGGGAGGCAGCCAGCTTGGTGGTGCTGCAGTTCACATGCTGCACCAGAGCTGCATCCACACGGAAGATGCGGTTATGTACACGCTGGGCATAAAACCACAGTCCTGGCTGACTGGGAAGGCAAGGAGGGGATTGTGGCATGAGGCCCTGTTGAGGCTGCTTGTCTCTTTCTCTCTCTCGCACAAAAGAAATGCTTTAAAAAAATAAAAACAAAAACACTCATTTAAAGGATTGAGGCTGCTTGTCTCTTTCTCTCTCTCTCTCACAAAAGAAATGCTTTAAAAAATAAAAACAAAAACACTCATTTAAAGGGAAAAAAAATCATTTAAGTATTTGACAATCAGATTTTATTTGTTTAGTTTTGCAAGAGGTCATGTGTAGTTACAGAAGTGAGAGAAGGAGGGACAGAGGGAGGGAGAGGGCGGCAGTGAGAAAGTGCTCCCTACAGAGCATGCCCACAGCGCAACCCTTCTACACTGCTCTCTCCTCTCAGGGTTTCGGGCATGGACATGCGCCCGACGTTTTTAAAGCCACTGGGTCTGGGATTCAAACATGCAGTCAGCCACGTGGGATTTAGCCGTCATAACTGCCCCCTATTTTCACCTTTTAAATGAAGTTTAGCTACTCATTTCTTCCAAGACAGACAGGCATATACACACGAGCACCCACCCCCAACAGGGTCGCGACACCGTGATCAGCCTGAGCCCCAGATCATATACTCAGGGAGGTCTCTGGACGAAAACCTGGGACCCTCCCATGTGGGTCAGCCTTACAGAGCAGTTTTTTGTTTTTAAATTTGCTAAAGAGGTGCATGTGCTCTCCAGGGAGAGAAGATAGAGAAGAAATGGAGACAGCAACCCCATCCCAGGGGAACGGCCATGTGATCTCTTCCCGTTCTCCTCTCAGGATTTTGGGCACACAGGCACCTGGTGTGTTTTAATAGCTGCCAAGACCGGGCTTTGAACCAAGAGTCAGCAAGGTAGGATCTGGCTGCCTTTGCCACACCGGCTGACCTGAGCACTGCATTTTACCCTGTGCCACTGTCAAGCCCCCTCAGATTCTTCTAAAGCCATCCTCACTCTACTTACAGAGCCCTGAACTAGAAACCGTTTGGGGGATGTTATGAGTTTGATTTCAGCAAAGGAGACAAGAGAAGCCAAATCAGTGGGACCTTGATCCAAAGGAAGGGCACAGCCCTGGGTCAAAACCAACAAACGTTCGGAATGGGCGTGAATGTGCTTCTTGTAGTGGGTAGAAAACATTTATATCTCTTTGGAATCCTTTACCTGCCAATTAACTGTAATCACTGGCTCTCACCTGGGGGTGTGGGGGGCACAGTATCTCAAGACAGTTTTGGTTATGCTCTTTAAGCCTTAAAAAGACCACATTCTGACCAAAGTAGGTATAAAAAATAGGCAAAAGAAAGCCTACTATTTTATAATCTATAATGGAAAAAAAAAAAAAGGAAAAAACTCTACATCTACAATAAGGAATAGTTACATTAGTTACTGCAGAATGGAGTTAAACGGTACCATTTAACATCCTATTTCCAAAGGGTATTTAATATTGATATAATAAAAGCAGTAATGTCTACTGAGATTATTTTGTATCAGACACTGAAAATAGCTTCATATACATTACTTCATTTGACATTCACAGTCCTAAGTTTATACTATTACTATTTTATAGATTAAAAAAAAAAAAAAAAAAAAAAAACACACCGAGACAG